GTTCAATATAGTCATATTTGGGACCTTGAAGAAGTTATTAGCTTTTGTGATTTTATTTACTGCCCATATTCTTTGGAATGATACAAAATGTATATAGCTTTTAATTGTTCTGTTATGTTATTAGAAAATGTTAAAATCATTATCTTTCTTTTTGTTTGCTCAAATGTGTACATATATCTTGACTAAGTTCTAGAACATTGAATTACTTTAATTCAGATGTAAACAATATTTACCTCCATAATCGTAAATGTTAGACACAATTTGAATGAGAGTCCAAAATAAGGAGTTATTAACTCATAATGACCGTAAACTCTTAATGCTTATTCGTTGGTACGTCCGGCCGTCCGTCCGGCCGTCCGTCCGTCCGTCCGTCCTTCTGTCCACAATTGGCTTGTGAACGCAATAGAGACAACAGTTTTCATCTGATTTCAATGAAATTTGATGTGAATATTTATAATGATGAGATTATGGACAAGTTCGAATTTGATGATCTTTCAATGAACGGTTTTTGAGTTATTGCCCTTGACTGATGAAAAACATGTCAAAATTTGTTTGTGAACACAATAGAGAATACAGTTTTCATCCAATTTAAATGAAATTTGGTGTGAGTATCTATAATGATGAGATCTTGGACAGGTTTGAATTTGGCTATCTTTCGATGAACGGTTTTTGAGTTATTGCCCTTGACTTATGAAAAACGCGTCAAAATTTGGTCGTGAATATAATAGAGACAACAGTTTTCATCCAATTTAAATGAAATTTGGTGTGAGTATCTATAATGATGAGATCTTGGACAGGTTTGAATTTGGCTATCTTTCGATGAACGGTTTTTGAGTTATTGCCCTTGACTTATGAAAAACATGTCAAAATTTGTTTGTGAACACATTAGAGAATATAGTTTTCATCCAATTTAAATGAAATTTGGTGTGAATATTTATAATGATGAGATCTTGGTCAAGTTTGGAGTTGGCTATCTTTCGATGAACGGTTTTTGAGTTATTGCCCTTGACTTATGAAAAATGCGTCAAAATTTGGTTGTGAACACAATAGAGAGTACAGTTTTTATCTGATTTAAATGATATTTAGTATGATCATTTATAATGATGAGAATGATCTTAGTCAAGATTAAATTTGACAAATTTTCGATCAACAGAATTGGAGTCATTGCCCATGACTTAGTAAGAACGCATCAAAATTTGTTAACGATAGAGGTGACAGTTTATGTCAGAATTTTATTAAATGATGTGTGTTTGTTTAGTCAACAATATCTTGCACAAATTAGATTTTTGGTATGATTTGACACAGATAGGTGACCGCCCTTGATATACTAAAGATGTATCAGGAAAGTGGGCGTATCTTGCTAGACAACCACTTGTTAGTTTATTATCTCCCTTGAAAAATATTTTCTTGTTCATCTAACTAAGCTGAATGTGCCATTTTTTCTCAGATTAGTGTTCTTCAAAGAGATAGCACCTTTCTCGCATACTTTTGATTTTTTTTTTTTTTTTGGCTTGATAATAGGATTAGTCCCGAAAGTAGCCACATTTACTCTTTTTGTATAAATTTTTTACCTACTGTATCAGAAATCTAT